GGCCAATTAATTTCTTTCTATTTATAGTAGAGACGGGGTCTCACTCTTGCTCAGGCTGGTTTTGAACTCCTGACCTCGAGCAATCCACCCACCTCGGCCTCCCAGAGAGCTAGGATTACAGGCGTGAGCCACCGCGCCCGGCCAGCACTGTACTAATTAATAGGTGATTTGTCCAAGATGATTTTGAACAAGCAGACTCAGAATGTCCCTATGACTTGCCATTTAAGCCTTCCTCATCTCATCTCACCTACTTCTCTATTCAAAAGCCTGTACATTTCACCAAAATCCTCTGTCCCAGTGAATCTTGCAATATCATACATTGCTCTACCATTAATTAGCATTTATATTATGCACACATGCCTTTTTTCGTTTTAATGTTTCGTGGGTAAAAAGCCCCTTGATCGGCAGTAGTACAATCTTCTTGGTAGTTCCAAAGGCTGGTATTTGGGCAGTAAGCCTTAGTACCTCTGGGATTTCTCAATATGCCTTCTCTGCTTCTTTCCCAATAATAAAATATATGGCTGAGTCCATGGAAGTAAGAGACAAACAGAACATTTCTGAGCCCCCCTTGCAGTTAAGATTAGTCCTGTGGTCAATGGAGTTTAGGAAGAAGTATAATATGGAACCTTCCTTAAGAGAGAGCTCCTAAACTCTCTTTGTCTTCCCTTCACCCTTTCTTCCATTTGGTGGCTTGGAATGAGTTACCACACCTGGAACCATAAAGTTAAGGCCACATACAAGGAGCAAGTAGAAGAAGCACACATCTCTATTACAATGGAATGCCTTGCCCTGGACCACCTGTCCAGAGCTCTACAAGAAAGAAATTCTAATTTCTACCCTATTTAAGTGATTGTTAGTTTGGGTTTTCATCATTTGAAGCTGAACCTAATCTTAACTAAATTATTGGGACAATTAGAATAAGTATCTAAATAGTCTTAGCAAAGGAACCCTTTGTTCCAATTTGATGAATTCCAACTGTCTCAAGTTTGTGGTTGCAGGATTGTAAGCACTCAGTTGCCCCTCCTGATCCTGCCAGTGTCTTCATCCATGTGATTGATGAGGACATGCTCTCATAAATCCACTAATTTAGTACATTCTGTTTCTATTGCCATGTAATACATAATATGCTGGAGTACATAATTGCATAATTATATGCTTATAAGCCCTCTAAGCAAATACATTTATATACTAATCATTAACCTAAAATGTTTCTCTTCTGATAGGTGTTACTCACCATTTCCACATCATCTGTTACATGATTCTTTTTAAATTTCTTCCCTTACCATAAAAAAGTGCCTCTCTCCCCCACCTCTTTCTCTAGATCAATACTCTGCTACCAAAACACTAATAAACAATTATATATACATTTATGGGTGTATAACTATGTATTTTAAGTTCAATCTCAGCATGTCCTATCTAAATTTTTTCACGATTTGTGATTGTTAAATTACATACTGACCAAGAATTAATATTCAAAAGAAATGATATGCAATAGGGTGTAAATATTTGTGTCTGTGTAAATAAAAAATTATAGACTTTAGGTTACAATTTTATCTAATAAGAAGCTTTGAAAAGAGAATAATCTGTATATACACATACTTAAGTGCTATGTTGAAATTGTTCTTACATATTTTTCCCATTATGGTAACCACAAAGATACTATTGAACAAAGAACACCATTGGAGATTAGCCAAGGGTAGCAACAATCTTATTTAGGTTTAAATATATATGCTCCGTTTCTCATTGGCATTATAGTCTACTATTTATTTTTTCTGCCTGTTTTTATGTTTGATGATAAGGGCAAATGGATTTTTATGATACTCAACTGTTTACATATAAAGTTTTGCTGTGTCTCCCAAAACTATACTGTCTACCCATGAAGCTTTAGTGACTAGATATCTTGTTAGACTTACTTATTATAGGAAAATGTGCTTGATCACCTAAGCTATTACATCTGTCAGTTGTATGCTAGAACCTACTCACACCAGCTTGTGAAAGCCAATTGGGTATATGTCTTCCCAACTTTGCCTTCAGTGACTTCACATTAGCTTGAAATTGGCCAGAGTGGGAGTATTTACACCACAGAAATGGGCAAATGCCACAAATCAAACCTCTTTTTCCAACCTAGAGAGCTGATTGTAAAACATTTACCAGCACACCACTAAAGATATTTGTTTCAAGAAATCTAATTTACTCAGTTAAGTTGTAAATGAACTCACCAGACTTGTGTTAATTAATTCACCATTATATCAGCTATGTGGTTTTTATTAGGCATGGAACATTTTGATTTGCTCTCTTATAGATGTAGAAAAATTGTACTGATCTCTGGTAGAGTTGATTCAAAAAATTTTTCTTTATACTTATATTTGCTTTATGAATTTCTCCATTTCCTCATTTAAATTTTCCCTACTTGATCTATAAAAACAGATGGAAGTATATCTAAATATTCCCACTAATAGTTTTTTTAACTTTCATTTTGTATCTGACAGTTGTTTGTATATTTTTAAGGTATGTCATTTGGCTTATAGAGGTCATTAAATATTATGTTTCCATTGTGGATTCTACCTTTAATCAATATAAAAGGATTCTTTGCTCCACTTAATGATTTTTGTCTTGATTTCTACTTTGATACTAATAATGCCACTTTTCCTTTCTTTGTTTTACCCTTAGGTACATAACTTTATTTTAACCTTCTTATTATTTTGCTTTCATTAGGACTTTTATTACCAAGTTAAACTTGGAAAGTGGTTTTTTGGTCCAATATGAAGATCTTTTTTATTTTGTAGTAGAATTCAAGCTATTTATTGTGAAATCAATATACTTGGTTTACCTCAAGTTTTTATTTATGGAGGCAGAAATTGGAGTGTCGTGGCCACAACCCAAGGAATGCCTGCAGCCACCAGAAGCTGGAAGAGGCAAGGAATGGATTTTCCTCTAGAGCCTTCAGAGGGTGCAAAGCCCTGACACAACCTTGATTTCAGTCCAATGATACTGGCCTTCAAAACTGTGAAAGTAAATTCACAGTTGGTTTAAGCCATCAAGTTTATAGTAACTTGTTATAGTAGTCCCAGGAAATTAATATAGTTACATTTACATTTTTGGAAAACCAGTTCAAACATAGACTTTTCTACCAATGTCAGCATACATCCACATGAGTTTGGTGATTTAGAATATATTGTATTCTTTTCTCCTATCCGTACTGCTTTTGGGGAGGGTGGAGGATTATTCAGAACTTTAAATTTCAAGTATTAATATTAATTCCTTTTTATGCCTATTCTTATTAGTTTCTTATATTAACTTTTACAATGAATATTTTAATTTTAATAATTATTTAGACCCTAACTCTAGGTTTTATTAACTACCACTAATTATTTAAACTGTTTATATTTTATTTTTTAAAAAAAACAAAAAAAATTTGGACCAATCCTTGATTACCTGGAATAATTGGTTTTTGTATTTTTTTAGTTTTAGTTTTAGAGACAGGGTCTCCCTCTGTTGTCCAGGTTGGAGTGGAGTAGCACAATCATAGCTGATGCCTTGAACTCATGGACTCAAGAATCCTCCTGCCTCAGCCTCCGAAGTAGCTCGGAGTGCCAACACACCCAGCTAATTTTTTGTAGAGATGGGGTCTCACCGTGTTGCTCAGGCTGGTCTTAAAATTCTGGCCTCAAGTGATCCTTCCATCTCTGCCTCCCAAAGTGCTAGGATTATAGGCGTGAGCCTCTGTGCCAGGCCTGCCTGGAATAATTTTAAGAAGTGTATGTGATAAACTTAAAAAATGTTTGCAGCTAATACTACAAGGTGTGCTTATATATAAATACAATAAATCTGTAGAGGGTTGCTAGCAATTAAGCAAAACACAACCCAATTAATAAATAGGCATAGGATATGAATAGACAGCTCACAGAAAAAGAAATACAAATGATCTTTAAACATGAAAGGATGTTTTTACCTTTCTTTCTTTCTTTTTCTTTTTTTATTTTTGGACGGGGTCTCACTATTTCGCCCAAACTGAGTGCAGTGGCTATTCACAGCCACAATCATAGTGTACTACAGACTTGAACACCTGGCCTCAAGTGATCCTCCAACCTCAGCCTCCCCAGTAGCTGGGACTACCGGCCCATGCCACTGTCCCCAGCTCTGTTGCCCAGGCTGGAGTGCAGTCTCATAATCATAGCTCACTGCAGCCTGGAACTGCTGGGCTCAAATGATCCTCCCACCTCAGCTTCCTGAGTAGCTGAGACTACTGGCATCCACCACCATTCCTGTCTAATTTTTTGTTTTTATTTTTGGAGAGATCTCGCTATGTTGCCCAGGCTGGTCTCAAATTCCTGGCCTCAAGCAGTCCTCCCAAATTTCAAAGGGCTGGGATAAAGCCACAAACCACCACACCAGGCCTGTTTTACTTTTCTTATAATAAAAGAAATGCAAATTAGAAACTTTGTTGAGATATAGTTTATTTCCCATCAGATTTGCTTAATTGCAAATATTTTAGAGTTCTTGGCTGAAAATCAGTTTCTTTCAAAATATCAAAATTGTCTTCTGGCATTTAATATTGTAGAAATAGCTGATACCAGCCTTATATTTGATTTTTTAAAAAATCTTTTCCAACATGAATTAGTATGCCTTTAGAATTTTTTCCCTTCAAAATTTACATTTAAAATTTTTTCATGATATATCTATGTATTTATACCCTTTAATTAAAATTTGAATGGTATTTGCTGAGTCCTTTTTATTTGAAGACTAAGAGACATTTTCCTCTATTATTTCTCTGTTGTTTATCTTCTACCTGCTCTCTTTTCTGTTTCTGGAATTCCTGCTAAACAAATATTAAATTTGGGGGTTCTGTCCTTGTCTCTTACCTTTTCTTCTTCTTCTTCTTCTTCTTTTTTATAGAGATGGTGGTGTCTTGCTGTGTTTGGACTCCAACTCCTGGGTTCCACATCCTTCTACCTCAGCCTCCTGCGTAACTGGGACTGCAGGTCAGCACCACATGCCTGGCTTCTAACTTTTTCTTTCATCATTCTGGATTTCTTTGACTTTTTCCTTTTAATGTGTGAGAAAATTTCATGAACATGTTTCCTAACTCCATGAATCAATGTTCTGCCATATTTCACATATTTTTATTTCTTGTTATTGTTCATAATTCAGCAGTTATGATTTGAATTTCCAAGAGCTCTGTCCCACTCTCAAATATTTTCTTTTCTATGGTTACCTGTTATGGTTTTATCAATGTATTAATTTGTTGAAAACATATATTAAAATTTTCCAAACTTTTTTTCTTATTTCTTCAGGAGCAACTTAATGTGATGATTCAGATTGGCTCCAGCTGTTCAAAATGTTATATATTTTTCTATATCTGATTATTTTCTCTGATTATACCACTAATAATAATGGCTAATGTTTCTTGTGTACTTACTATGAGGCAGGGCTTGTGCGAAATGATTAACACATACTCTGCTATGATATCTTCACAACAACTGGAGCTAAATATTATTATCCTCATGATCCATGGCCACTGCAAGTTCTCCACCCCTCCACAAGAATAAGGCTGTTTCAAGCAGTATCCTGCCCACATCCCAACCTACCCACCTGCGAGGGATGAACCACCCAACCAAAAGGAGAGTGCATTTCCCTCACCTGTGTAAGATTGATTTTCCCAGCTACTACCTCTGAGCCACAAGTTTTCTGTTGTACACAGATTTATTCCAGTTAGCTTCAGCTTTGCAGACAGTTAGCAGGGTAGTTCTACTTTGATCTTCCAGCCAATCCCAGCCACAGTAAGTAACCTGCTTTATATATCCTTCATAGACTTATTTAAAAGGGATAATACTACATATTTATCAAATTAATATAATCTCGATAAGTAATTCATATCACTGAGGCATTGGAATCAATTCTGCCTCATCTGTCTGTGTGGGTTCTTGTTGCAAGCTCTTAGACCTAGAAGTAAATAATGCTGCAGCAATTTTGTTCCCAGTCAGCTTAGAGGTCCAGCACTCTGTGGGCATATAGAGTGATACAGAGGAGGCAGGATGTTTGCATACATGTCACCTGTAGCAGCATAGAGACAGCTGGGCTACCATAGCAGGGCTACCGTAGCTGGGCTATCCCATTTCTTTGCCTTGCGCAGTTGCCCTCATTAGGAGTAAGCCACGGTTGGATCCCTGTTCTTTTCCTGACACTGCCATGCTTACCATGTGTAAGCATAAGTGTGAGCCAGATTAATGGGTGAACCAGCTGGGCAGGTATTTGGGCCAATGTAAAAGATGGTTATATTAGTCAACTATCACTGTATAACAAACCACACCAAAACCCAGTGGCTAAAAAACCATAATTATTTACTGTCATTTATGTGTCTTCTGGTTGGTGGGATTGGCTTATCTGTGCTGGGTTAGCTGCATGGCTCCACTAGTCTTGGCTGGGTTTGCTCTTATGCCTGTGCATCAGCTGATGGGTGACTCTGCTCTACTTGTTTCCCATTCCCTGGTGCGGTAGGCTAGAGGGGTGAAATAGACATGCAGGGGGAAATGCAGGAACACTCATGGTCTCCTATGGCCTAGGCTCAGAACAAGCACACTGTCACTTCTGCCCATATATCACTGGCCATAAAAAGTCGTACGGTGAGTTCAAAATCAATGGGCAGGGAAGACAGCCACTGATGGTGACAGCCTTTAGTTGCAGGAAGTAGTAAAGAATTGGGATCAATAATGGAATCTAGCTCAGGAAATGCATTGATCAAGAATCTTTTGTTAAGAGACTTAAGGTCTGAGATGAAACCCCCAAAGGATTTGCATACTTAAACTAGCCAATTACTAAACTGCTTTCCAAGGAGGATGCTGGGTTAACCACAGGCATTTTGTTTTACAGAGTGGGAGATGTGAGTTTGGACCAGAGCCAAATCCTTGGGAGGAGCAAGAAGAGACTTCGAGCTACTACCATTCTCTTTTATTCATGGGGTGTTTAATCTCACCTATAAATAGATGCTGACCAGTAGAAATTCAGTTTAATAGGACCAAATATTTCAGGACAGCCAAGGGCATCCACATATTCTGTTCCACCTCGAACTAGAAGAAACCTTCCTGTAGAAGCTGCTGGACTCAGATGGGTCTACACTGACTTCCTGGAGCCTGTGTGCATCCAGCCCTCCCTGCTCTAGGTGGGGAATGTCATTGTTGTACTGAAGGGCTTTCGCTCATTCACTTTCAAATCAAATTTGTTTTTTTCCGCATGTAGCCTGCACTGAGTTGGGACAGCCTTCCCTGCAGTCCTGTACCACCTGCAGTCTATTGTGTGGCAATTCCTCAAAGTCTGCAGAACAGATACAATTTTTTGTTTTGCTATGTCATCCACATGGTAACTGGTGTTTCAGCCAAAGTCTAACCTGGAAACAGAAACCACCTGATTATTTAGACCAGAGAATCTTTAATGCAGGGAATGGGCTACCCACAGAGATGGGGTCATGAAAGCAACAGCAGGAAGCCGCCACCATGCCCAGGTTGGAGGACAGGGGCGCAAGGTCACCCATGCAGGAATGCTAGGCCTGATTACCCGGATTCTCCCTCCACCTCCCCCTGCAGCTGCCAGAAGAGACCTGCCCAGGAAGAGGGAACCCAACCTCTCCCTTCAGTTCTCCAAGCTCCTCTGGCGCCTCCTATCGGCTTAACCTGGCTGTCAACAGGGCCCAGAACCTGGGAAACTGAGTTTATGGTCAGCCTCCTTCTGCACCCAGATAGAGCAGGGAGAGGTTAAAGGAAGGATCTGCAGGCAAACCGGCCCAGGGCCAGCAGGCTCCTCCCCATCCAAATCACTTTTAAAACCCGGGTGCACTCACCAAGATTTCTGTGAATCCCCAGGAGAGCTGTTCAGGTCCAAACTCCCCTTCCATTGGATTCATTAGGTTGAGGAATAATCTCAGCATCCTAAAGGTGCTATTCCTATTGACCCAGAGAAACACTTTTCTTAGTGTTCATTAAAGAAAAAAAATGAAAAAGGAAACTTACAAGGCATTTATGAGCATATCCAACTCTATGAAGGTTTATAGGAAGAAAGAGATTTACATAAGAGTAAAACAAACAACTTTCAAATAATACAGAAAGCCTTGCGCTTTAAAAAAAAAAAAAAAGATACTACGGTCATTTCTGCAGATTGGGCTTCTATCTTTTCCCATCACATGCAACCTTCATCTCTACTCTCTTTTTGTGCATCTTCACTTTGCCATATTCCTCACATGGTCAAAAAAAAATAAATACAAAATAACAATCTGCCTCCCTGCACCACCACCACCCCCAGCTTTTTCCCACTTGTGTGTTTCAGCTCTCAGCAATCTCTCCTCCCAACTGAGCCCCAGGCCTACCCTTGCAAGTCCAAGAACTTGGGGTGAAGTTTCAAAAATGCTATTGGAAGGTTTTCATAAGGGCAGAGTAGTTAGGGAGTGCCTCTGCCCACCCCACCCCCCAGAGAAGCACATCCTGCCCAGTTTAACATTTATCTCTGATTTTTCATTTTCATTGAAGCATTCTTATTAAAATTGCATGACGCTAAGCCAGGATAGGTCCAGTAGACCCCTACCATGCACGTCCAACCTCTACATGAGGGACACATGTACAGCGAGCAGAGATCCCACTTTGCCATGTGGGCGCATCTGAAAGAGGACCAATGATAATCTTCCAGACCCTTCCTGCAGCAGTGTAACAACCATCTTTCCTAAACAACAACATGCTGGACACTTGCTGATACAGTGAAGCTTAACCTGACATAAGTGGCTAGTACAAGCTAATTGCTTCGTGTCTCTAGTGGGGATGAGAGAACTATCTAAAACTGCACCCAGTCACCTGGCATTCAGGCTAGTTTTGCTAGCTATGTTGCTCAAGCTGGTCTCAAACTCCTGGCCTCAAGCAATTCTCCTGCCTCAGCCTCTGAAAATACTAGCATTACAGGCATAGGCCACTGTGCCACACCAGAATTGTAGATTTTTAATGGCCTCTATTGTTTGCATTTCTATTCTCAGGCTAGAAAACCAAGTTCATGAAACTCTCTCCAACTATAGTACCTAAAGTTTGGGTGGATTCCTCTTTGCTCAAGGTTCACCAAATTTACCACAGCTCTTCTGGCCTGTTAAGAAGTAAACTTGCTTATTACCTACGAATCTGGGATTCTGAAAGCCAAAGAATAAGACTAAGGCAGTTTTCCTAGAAGGGCTTTATCAGCATTGATTTCACATAGAAAGTACAACCCTTGTTCCTTAATGGTGGCCTAATTATGCCTGAGTATAGAGATGTATTTGCAAGTATGACACATCAGGTATAGTCTTAGTTGCACAAATAATTCGTCCACTTTCTTTCTAGTAAAAGCAAGAGAGATTCTTACTAAACTTATGCAAATAACTATATTACCATGAAAAATAAGAATACTTAGTAAAACTATTTGCTTCTTTTCAATATGCTTTCTTAGCCAAGCTAAAAGTTAGAGATAAAATAAGAAGAAAGGATAGGGACTTCTATATATACATATAGTTGAACAGAAAATAGAACATAAAAGTTAATACCAATAATATTTCCCAAAAAGCCAGTACAATTAAACGTCCCTCATCGGTTCACTCTATACTATGCAATTAATTCTTTGAGCCCTGGATTTTGAATCACCAGTCTGTTTTCATGAAATCATCTGGTTCTGGACTAAAAAGAGTCTTAGAAATCTCAGCTCACTCCTTTGGTATAGTCTGAAAATTGTCTAAATGTTGTCAGCTCAGAAGCCAGTACCCAGAATTTATCTTTGAATGGTACAGTCCTTCCCATTAGGCTCTGAGACTACTTTGTTGAAGACCCAATTTCTGTGTTATAGCTTAAAGCAGAACCTTTAGAAAAGCATTAGAGCTGCAGTCCTCAGTCCCCAGTCCCCAGTCCCCAGGGCCGCGGACCAATACCCGTCTGTGGCCTGTTAGGAACAGGGCTGCACAGGGCCACACAGCCAGAGGTGAGTGGCAGGCCAGGGAGCATAGCTTCATCTGTATTTACAGCAACTCCCCATCGCTGGCATCAGTGAATAAGCTATGCCTCTTGTTAGATTAGCGCTGGCATTAGATTCTCGTAGGAGCGAGAACCTTACTGTAAACTGTGCGTGGGAGGGATCTAGTTTGCACTCTTCTTATGAGAATCTAATGCCTGATGATCTGAGGTGGAGCTGAGGCGGTGATGCTAGTGCTGGGGAGCAGCTGCAAATACAGATTATCGTTAGCAGAGAGATTTGGCTACACAATAATGTAATGTGTTTGAATCACCCAGAAGCCATCCCTCCCAACCCCTTCCCTCCCTACCTCCGTGGAAAAATTGTCTTCCACGAAACTGGTCCCTGGTGCCAGAAAGGTTGGGGACCACTGATTTAGAGGAACAGAGAACTACCTTGTAATAATACAACTAATTGGCTGTGGTTAATTTATTACAATAGCCAATACAATTATAATAGAGGAGAATGTCATCCTTTATTGAAGTATAATATGTTACTGTTACTATTTCGTAAGAAAGTGATCAATATTTCTCCTGACAATAAAAACATATCCTGGACAGTGAAGGCGTTGATATTTTTCCAGAGCTTTCTTTTCTGTTCTGGAAAGTGTATAGTCTCCGAAACATTTATAGTAAACACATTTTACCAATGCTAAATATCCTTTGACTTTATAACGCTTTCCATGCAATTCTTAGAGTAATTCTTGAGCTAATTAAGAAATATGAAGCATAAAACAAGTCTAAATATTGATACTATTCTTCTTTTTATAGAATGAAAGAACAAATCTTTGTGATTTTCCAAGGTGCCTCTGGGGAATCTCAGATAGTTTTAGGTGAAAAAGACATCCTAAAAAAAAAAAATGTAGGTTTGTTTTGTTTGTTGTTGCTTTCTGAATTTAGAGTCTGATCTTGGAAGGCAAAAAGCAAGAGTTACTTGGTCACTTGACTTAGCTGAGAGTATGGGGGGCTTGAAACTGCAGCCCCCCCCCAGTGTCTCTTTTCAGTAGTTTATAAAAAAGTACAGTTTTAAACCACTAAATGACAAAAGAGAGCTTTTTTATTCATCAGCACATTTAACATGAATGTGTGTACAAGGACCTTGAAAGAAAACTCAAAAGAATGGAGGGAAAGTAGAAGCATAGCGGAAGACAATGAAGACGGATGTCACCGGGACGGAGTGAGTGTGATGAGAATCTATCATGTTGACCTAGCACTGCCCCCAGCCCCTGAACAACTGCAAGCCTCCGGTCATGTGAGCTTTCTAGTTTTTCGACATTTAATCATTTTTAAAACGAGGTGATGTTCTTATATGATGCTACCTTTCAGGTCAAGTTTGGTCTGGGACGGGCACCTGGTCCAAGCTGTCTCAGCTACAACATTGTGTCCCTCTGGACACAGGTAATTGATCCAGGCCCCTAAGTCCCTAAGAATTTCCAGTTGAAACTCAGAGAGTTTTAAGATGGTGTCTCCACAGTGGAAGATACAAGATATAACATTTGGGAACCCTCAAGGCATGTTCTTCTTCCCAGGGTGAGGAAGTTAGTCCTTGGTGTCAGAGAATAAAGCCAACATTCAGGAAGGCAGAGATGGATGACAAAGTGTCTTGGTGAGGGGACTCCCTTGTTCATTGGTTTCTGAGGCCCGGCTACATCAACAAATATCATGATTGTGTTGGTTCAAGCCTTTATTAGGTTTCATGAGCCAATAATTTCCCCTTCGAGCTTAAACTAAGTTTTTGTCATTTGCGAAGAACTCCAAAGGGAAAGGGCCTGTTTTATAGATTACTTAGGGGTCGTCTTGTTTAATGATGGGTGTATTCAGAGTTTCAACTATTATTACACAATTTAGGTATCTCAGATCTTCTTTAAGACATTCATGTTTCTAAAAGTCACATCTTTAAATTAGAATGCTCTTTCTGTTAAATGGCTGCATTGTTTGTGAAAAAACTCATTTAAAAATTTATCGGAGAGGCTGGGTACGGTGGCTCATGCCTGTAATTCTGGTACTCTGGGAGGCTGAGGCGGGAGGATGGCTTGAGGTCAGGAGTTCAAGGCCAGCCTCAGCAAGAGTGAGACCCCATCTCTACTAAAAATAGAAAGAAATTAGACAGACTGCTAAAAATAGAAAAAATTATCTGGGCATGGTGACACATGCCTGTAGTCCCAGCTACTTGGGAGGCTGAGGCAGGAGGATCACTTGAGCCCAGGAGTTTGAGGTTGCTGTGAACTAGGCTGATGCCATGGAACTCTAGCCTAGGCAACAGAGTGAGACTGTGTCTCAAAAAAAAAAAAATGTATTGGAAATTTAAAAATCAAATAGCAAAATGGCTTATGGCATTCCTGCTCCTTACCATAAGAGATTCAGAGCCCAGTGCAGTGGCTTACGCCTGTCATCCCAACTACTCAGGAATTTGAAGCAGGAGGCTGAGATAGGAGGATCACTTGAGCCCATGAGATTGAGATTACAGTTAGCTATGATCATGCCACAGCACTCAAGCCTGAGCTGCAGAGTGAGACTTTGTCTCTTAAAAAAGAAAGAAAGAAAAAAAAAAAAGATTCAGAGAATATGTGTCATCACACATCGACCATATACAAATGGCTACTGTGGTTTATAAAACACTGTTGTCAATACTTTCTTTTTTGTAGAGACAAGGTCTCGCTCTTCCTCAAATTGATCTCAAACTCCTGGCCTCAAGCTATCCTCCTCCTGCCTTGGCCTCCCAAAGTGCTAGGATTACAGGCATGAGCCAGCGTGTCTGGCCTATTGTCAACACTTTCAGCCAGACTTTCATGTTAGAATGTCTGGTAGTTGAAAAATCCTAAAAATATTTTTCATAGATAATTAGTTCTAAGGACATCTCTGTTGTAATA